CAAGCATTATACGTACTAATGTTCTTGTCTTTTACGTGAACACTGGCCAACTAACGAGCAACATTTAAACTTGGTAAAATGACAAAATGTCTTTCCTAAGCACTCATGTCAATACTTGACATGACCGCTTTTTCCAGACACACCCCTTTGAATGGTAATGATTGATGACCACCCTCAGATAAGTATGCTAAACTTGCAATCCTCAAGTACCCTCTTTCTGATAGTCTCTTTCTCTTAATATATGTATGTGAAATTCACCAAACTGCTGATTCAATGAACAGCCTAAAATTCAAGATGAAATGCGAGTAGAGAGCATTTGGGGGAGTCATCATTACACAGTTGAATTCTGATTAGGCACTTAACATAATTTATGTGATTTGAATATGAAGTCACTTCACCCGAAAAGTAAATGGGGAAATTATTCACCTGAAAGTAATGGGGAAATTATTCTGATTGATTGAGAATAACCGAATACAGTACTTTGTTTGCATAGAGAACTCTAAAGCATATCCGAAGGGACAAAAAGTTGAAATTTCCCAATTGAAATAAAATCAAAACTGTTAAATAAAACAAAGTAACAAATTTCAACATCTTCATCATACTCATCGTGACAAACATGAGTTTACTAACAATAAAATCAACAAGTAGACGCGTGCAAATTCCGTTAGGCGGACATGAAACATCAACAACAACGAAGCAATTCAAGCTAGCAAACAAGCGAGCGAGCTAATAAACAAGCGAGCAAACGAGCAATCGATCAATCAATCAAATAATCAACCAAAGCCAACAACCAAGAAAGCAATTTCTGAATCAAAATCTCCAGTCATCTATTTAGGATGTCGAACGAGTTGTGGTAGCCGACACAAGTGGATAAAATTCATCAAACACAACCTTACGTGATTCATTTAATACCTATAGTTATCCATGGACACCGGTATTGAATGATTGGGTCTTTGAAAAGATTGGCGTTGGTTCTAGAGACTGAATACTGACCGATCGGGCTCTAGAAAAAAATTGGTGTTAGCTCTGATATAATGACTTGACCAGTTCATGAATGTGGGAATTGGTTTCCCTTTTGACCTCGTGTGGGCCACTCGTGAGGGATCATGTTGGAGAATACGATCTTATGTCGGTCATATAACAAAATAATATATTTTTAGTGTATGAGAGTTTCCACAGCTAATATCGTTGATGTCTTTTGTGATAAAATCCAACAAATAGAAATAAGTGATTGAGTAGGGACATATCAATGATATTGGTGGTGGACCTAAGCCTACAAAGTTTATCAAACATTTCATGCAATACATCAAATATAGGACCTTGCAAATTAATTTTTTCTTACCTCTATGAGGTTTCTTTTTCCCTCATGTTACAAGCATGTTGAGGGTGGAGGGTTTCTTTTTCCCCTCTATTTTTCCATGATTAATGAGAGAATAAATTACCTTTGTATTTTTGTAACCCAAAATACCCTTCACCCATGTAATGAATTTAAAAAATATATATTATTAAATTTTTTTTGACAAAAAATACTGTATTAAACCACGGGATGTGGATTCGAACACAAAACCTCAAGTGCAAGGGTTAATGTTTTTAATTAACAACTGAGCTCCCAACTGACATACCTCTAGTATCACATATAATGAATTGACCATGTGGGAATTGGCTAACATAACTATTAAGCTGACGTACCTATAGTATCACATAAATTAAAAAAATTCAACCATGATCACCACCTAGTTAAACTGGTGAGCAAATTCACGCTCAAGAATTCTTACATTTTTTTTTTAAGAAAAATTAATGAAAATGATTTGAAAATTTTGAGTTTTAATTAAAATGATAAAAAAGTGTTGTAAGTGAATAGTACTAGGAGTGACTTTTTAGAGTAAAAATGTTCTTTTTCATTAAAATGAATAGTACCGAAAGTGTTTCGTTAAAATTTTTTTTTTTTTTTAATGTCTCATTTTAGTGGGGACTAAAATATTTGCTGTACTTTCTTCATATAATAAACAATCCATTTCTGTGATATATATGCAAAAGGAATATTATTTCACCGTAACTATATTATGGTAAGATAACAGACTTTTCTCGGCTAAAGCTTTAGCACATGAAGTTATAGCGGCCTGTCAATAGCTGTCGCACAAACCAAATCGTACATAGAACGAGGTGAGAAATGACGAAAGTCCAAAATCATTTGATCATGAATCAATAACATAAAAAAAAAAAAAGATGAATATAATATTATTTCTTTTAAAAAGAACCAAATGTTCATTGCGATAATAGAGTGGTTAAATCTGAAATTCAACGTGACCGCTTTACTTTTTGAAATTTCGAAGTCATCATTTTACTTTTTGGAATTTTATTTCGATCTCATTTTGGAGAGATTTTTCAATGTGATTGGTACACGAGATGGTACACCACATGTCACAGTACAAATGGTGGAATATATGTGCTAAAAAGTTAATAACTTAAAAAATGAAATTTTTCACCACTTCTATTAAAACATGTGGTGTACCAAAAGTCATTACTTCACTCCCTGAAACTCTATTCACTCAACTTTGGATTGTTTCTATGTATTCCATTAAATAACCATTAAAATTTACTTATGTGGCATAATTAGGGCCAATTTATAGTTGATGTGGCACAAACAAGTATAAAAAGATCCAACAAGATCCTCTCCGGAGCCTTTTGATGAGGATCTGTGAATCGTATTCGTTCATCGTACATCGTACGATCAATTTTTGTCAGGTACTATTTGTATTTAATTTCAATTTTTATCAGGTATTGCTTGTATTTAATTTTAAATAAAAATATTTAAAATGATTATGACAGTACGATGTATAATGAATAGACAAGATTCACGGATCTCTAGGATCCTCATACAGAGAATCCAAATGCTAAAAAGATCACATATCCAATCAAATTGTGTCATATAGATTGAACAAAAAGAAAAAACTAAAGAAAATTTAATTTTCAAACATTATATAACGTATTAAAAAAAACTAATGAAAATAACTTAAAAACTTTGAGTTTTAACGATAAGGCAAAATAAAGGGTAAAATAAATAGTATCAGGATTTACTTTTTAATATAAAAATATGATTTTTCGTTAAAGTGACACCGAAAACTTTTCTTTAAAGTTCCTTAAAAGAATGAAAAAGTAAGAAAATAGCAAAAACAATTCCTCAGTTTCATATCTTTGACCCCTCGCTCTTTAATCATTGTCTACATTTATCCATTCTCCCTCCATCTCCAGCCACTTTATCATTGGCTCCTTTGATTTCTTATATTCTTAATTGACGTGGCTGGTGAAAAGAGAAGAAGATGGTTCTTTATTTCAAGAGGAAATTTAGCATATTACCATATAACTATGAACTTTTTATAAAAAATGGAAATAAGGAAAATTCAAACAAATTATGAGTTTCAGGATGTAAAGTGGTGAGTTTTGAAGTTTAGGGAGCAAAGTGGGATCAAAATCAAGTTTCAAAAATAAAGTGACTACTTTTGAATTTCAAGGAATAAAATGGAATCAAAAGCGAGTTTTAGGGGAGCGTAGCAAAATACAAGCCTTTTTTTTTTTTTTTTGTGCTGATGAACTAAAATGGTTTGGATTACTCAGGGCTAGCCCTGAGAATTTGGGAGCCTTAGGTGAGTCTTCAAAGTGGAGCTCTAGAGTTCTCTGACTCCGGACCCTTTGTACATTGACATGTGTAAAAAAAAAATTACTAAATACATAAAAAGTCTATTTCTACATCAAATATCTTTAAAAATTAATATTGAAAAAAGAAAGATATACAAACATTACTCAAATATTACTCGTCTCACGTTTTTAGATGCAAATGCACTTATTAGGTTTACATAATCTAATTTTTCAACCAATTCAAACCGAAAGAGAAGTCCCTACCCGGTACGCCAAATTCCAATCATTTTTCTATTGTTACAACATTACTTATTACATTCAATAAATGAATGAATGGTTGAATTACAGAGACAACATCTTACAGCTAGGGAAAATACTATAGTGAAGATGATAGTAATTTTCATATACGCGCCTAGGCGGACGAGGTGGATTTGAATAATTTATTATATATTATATAAACTAATTAATTTGAACATTAAATAATGTCATTTTTCAAAAAGGTGAGTTTTAGCCTTTTAGGTACATAATAAAGATATATATGGTGTGATATTAAAATAGCGTAATAAAATCCCATACAAATAAACATAAATGTGATATTTAAGAGAGAAGCAAAAAAGTAAAAATAAGATGGTGGGGACTATTTAAAAGGGACAAGACGTGCATCTATAAAAAAAGATAGTGGGATCATCGTAAGTAAAATCGTGCAATTAAAATGATGTTGGGAATATGGTTGTCTTCTTTCTCGCGCGAGGCCAACCCTGCAACAAAAGATTTCCAGATTCCAGCGTTTACATATAAGCCTACATAGCTCCCGCCCATCCCCGTCTAAACCTACCTAGCTCCGCCTAAAAATTGGGGGCCCTAGGCGGACGCCTACTCCAGCTACCCTCAGGGCCGACCTGGGATTACTGAACCTTATTCTAGGGAGTACCCCGAACAATAGAACCTTTTCAACCATTCTTCCAAAAAGTTCTTCTTAAGAAGGGATCATATATAACGCATTTTGACATCAGTTTTTGTCGGCCAATTTCATAATGTTTTTAATGATCCAATGGGTTAACTTTTATGTTTTATTTCAAAGACCATGTCTAAAAAAAATCACCCAAATCCAAAACCATATGATTGTTGGATTAATTTAGTTTTTCTTTGTAAAACTATATTCGTCCATTTTCTTCACTTCAAATGAATGTCTTAATGGTTTTGGATTTGTCTAATTTTTTTGCAAGGATGTTCTAAGAATAATGCACTATAATATATATAGTTCAAATCGTTGAAATACATTTTGAAGTGGATTCTACAAAATAAGTGTCAAAAAGCGTATGTTCATGGATGCTAACCCTATATATATTCATATAGTAGTTTCATTTGATAAATCATATAGTAGTTTCATTTGATAGCAAAACTTTTAACCTCTTGATCGATTTCTTTCCAGAGGTTATCAACTATTTCCTAATGTACAAGCTTATGCATTAGATCATGACTATTCTAATCACAAACCCCTTCCTAAACAAAAATTACAAGGGTGGGGATGAAGTTGGTATACATATAAATACCCTAAACTTTATGAACAATTATGTTCTTTGCGATTGAACCTGAAGGTTCACCATGTTGCTGGTGGGACTGCTACCAGAAGCACTTCTCCATGGGATCGGCAGCTGCATGTTGAGATTTCGAGCACTCATATCCATTTTCAAGAGCAGTTCTCTAGCTCTGTTCATCAAATCCGCTCCCTCCTTTTGAATCTGGACTCTCTTTGGACATTTGAGCAAGCTAATATAAGTCCCCAAGTCATGAACACATGAAGGGTTTTGCATGTTGAAGAAATCAAGTACTAGTTCAACTCCCACATGTGCATAACACGAGCAACTCCATGGGAACTCAAATGACCCCTCACCTGCCAAAACCCTAAAATTTTCATGATTGAAAACAACCCCAGGCATCTTGGTAATGGGGTCATTCACATTAACTATTCTCAACACCTTCACACCCAATTCCTCACACCTTTGCTTGAACCCCGAGTTTCCAACCCTTGGGCCTCCGAACGAGAACACTGTAATCGGTGTTTTCGTTCCGGAATTATCTCGGTTTAACCCGAGCTCTGCGATGTCATAACCAAGAAGAAGAGCCAATGAACTCCCCATACTATGTCCTGCCATAGTTATGCTTAACTTCTCACCTTTGTACTTGTTTAGCAACCTCGACACCTCAGAAAGAAGCTGTTCCCGGCAACTTCCTAGTCCAAACTTGCTTTGGCTTTCATCTGACGTGTACAAGCTCAAAAACCCAGATTCCACTTTTACATCATTTCTTGGATTATGAGGATCGAGCCTTGCGGGAGTGAGTGAGCTCATTAGGTTTGCAACCCACTCAGGGTTTGTAACAGTGCCTCTGAAGGTAACAATAATATCTCTTCTTCCAAGCCTCTTAACCGCAGCATCTGATGAGACGGCGACATATCCAATCCAACGGCCGCACGACTCTCCATTTTGGATTGGGATGTTGATGTCTGGAGTGGCGTAGATGTACTTGGTGACTTCATAACCGCAATTTTCCATTCCAACCTCTCTGAACATGTTTTTCTTTCCGTATTTGCAATTGAGGTAGCGTTTGGAGTTGGGGTCGAGATCAAAGCCCTTGTAACACGCTGTGACAAAGTCTCCGTATCTAATGATCTCTTGCCGGAGAAGTGGGTGCAATGGTTCCACCAGGTTTTCCCAGTTGTTTGATCCTTGTATTTCTCTCCATTGATCAGCCAAACTAGTGCTAGAGCTGGTATTGTTAATATTGGCTCCAGTAGTATTTCTTGTTACCACTTCAGCGACTGCTGCTGCGGACATAGAAACTGCGTGTCTCGTGGCAGCTGCCACTTCAGTTTTTTTTGCCAGACAAATTTGCCCAAAAGTAACCGAGCGTATCCCAATGTTTTTGGGAAACGTCACATGTTGGTTCATGTTTGTGGTAGGCATTTGAATCATGGAAGCCATTTCTATAGCTCTACTTCAAAGAATTAGAGAGCTATAGAGAGAGAGAGAGAGAGAGAGAGAGAGAGAGGAAGAGAGAGTGGCTGGCTGAATTATGTTGTGAGATGAGAGGCAGAGGTATATATACAAATGGAGAGAGAGAGAGAGAGAGAGAGAGGTTATGGAGGAGGAGCTGAGAGGGGATGTGTGATAAACTTGTGTCATGTGGGTCATAAGAAAATAATAGTGAAAGAAAAGTAAAAGCATGTTTGGCGAGTATTTGACTGGGAACATCAAAATTCCCAAGGGCTTAATTTAAGTGGTCGGTTGGCTTTTAAGGCCACGTACACTCTGTTTCTCTGTTGCGGCTATGTTAGAAAAAGAGCCCCTTCTTTTATTTTTAGCTGGTTCCCTTGATGTTGACTTCAAAGTTTCAAATATATGGAGTTTTTCTTTTTCTTTTTCTCTTCATTTTTTGGCCGGAAAAAGCAATGTACATATAAATTGACACTAAGGTCAAATCGTGTCATATCATGTTTAGGTTATGTCTCTCTATTCTAAGCCAATTAAAAATTAAATTTCGACAGTTATAATTAATTAAGTTACTATATCGAGAATATAATCTCGTGTTTATAATGTCACTTTAATTTGAAGATAAGATCGTTAATATTCATATTTTTAAATTGTCAACGTTCACTCTGAGACACAACCAATAGTTTAAAATGAGAAGTTGACAATTGTCTTGTGGAACTAGAGATTACATGGATATAAATGGCTAACTTAATCCATTTATTAATTATTTCCTAGTAATTATGGACGTCGTTTGAAGGAATGATATTTTCATTGCATAATGGATGTATGGATTATCAAGGAACATGCATGCTCTTGAAGGGAAAAAGGAGCAAAATTAAAAGGTTTTCAATGTAATACACTCGGTAGACTACGGACTTGGTGAACCAACTTATATCAAATTTAGCTATCAAGTTAGCATTAACATATAAAGTTTTGTCTTTTTAGCTAAAACTCTCTCTAAAATTGATATAGCTCCTTAATTGGTTCTTGAAATTTAAAATCAATATAACTAGTCCCTGACTTTTATTCTGTGAAAATTTTTCGTTGAATAAAGATAAATGACAAAAATTGTTTAGCCCATTGTTTATTAAATTGAGGGTATTTTGTTATTTTGGTCTTTATTTAACAAAGATTTTTCACAGAATGACCAAAATGATCAACGGTGGGCAAACTGAGAAATCACTTCTATCGATTTCAAATCTCAGGCACCAAAATGAATGTCAACCTCAGAGCAATTTTGGCCAAAAATGTTCGGCTTCGATATGTTTGGTTACAAGTATTCATTAAGAACATACAATAATTGAGCTATTAATGTTAGAATCAAAAGGGGACGAATGGTTAGATACTCTTAGATACTACTGAATTAATGATCGATGGTACATATATAGGTGACAATAAAAGGACTAGTTGATTGGTATGTATGAATGCAGAGAGTTCACATGTGTACAGATTAATTAAGCAAACGAGTGAGCAGTTGCTATCTTATGATATGAAGCAAATTTGTATTCAACCACAAAAGAAGAGGCTATAAAACAATCAAAACATACCAGCTAGTCTTTAGTCTAAAGCAATCAAACACACTTAGTTTTAGTCTAATCATACATAGTTGTCTTATGTTTTAAAGAAGATCTTCAGCTCGACTCACATTGATGCGAAAACAATGCAAGAACAGTATATATTTGTGGCTAGCATAAATATAGTGGTACAACTTTATAATGGTACAACTTTGTTGTGGGTGTGTTAGCCCTGCCATATAAAGCGTTGATAACTACTCGTGTTATGATACCATTAACTTAGGTCACTAAAATATCAAGGGCAACAACAAAAATGTGAATTTTGAGAGATTGCCTTATACCATTTTATTAATAAACATGTGATATACCAATACATAACATCTCAAAATATAGCCTCCTCAGTATTTTTCAAATATCAATCGTGCTATCTACATTATTACCGTACTTCAAAAAGATTAATTATGTTTGAGAAATTCCCCTTTTCACACTACAAAGAATCCTTTGTTGTGTTAGAGCTTGTTGAGAAACCGTTAGCCGTCAGAAACATCAACAAGGTTAATAAACCGCGCCGACTATTTTCTATTTGGTTGTCCATCTTTTGTAAAATTGCATGCAGGCCCCAAATAGAAAAGGCACTCGTACGCGCGCTTCATATTTGACGCACGCCTTGCGCGCTCGAGAATTGAGAATTGAGAATTGAGATGGTTTCTGTGCCGAGTGCCGGACATTCAACGCGGCGATTGACATTTGTACGTGGCCCCCCCCCAGAAATCTATAAATCTGCTCTCTCCTCATTTGCAGACATTGACTGCCCTTTTCCTCTTTCACTCAGCAATAGCCTCTCAACCTTTAAGGGAATTGGAACAACATTCCTTTAATTAAAAATATGTGATTATTGATATTTTAACTCATCAAAGCATGTAATTATAATTTTTTTTGTCAACTTCGTTAGAACTTCTATCAAAATAAGTCACGTGTCACGCACGTGATGCTGAATCAAAAGGCAAATATGAAAAACCAAATGAGAAAATTGTAGGAATGATCTCTTAACTTTAACTCAATTGGATAAATGATCATTCGATTGGAGTAATGATCATTCCACCTTAACCAAATTGTTGCAATGGTTCTTCCAACACCACTCATTTTGGCGGAGTTGACGAAAAAGATTATAGTTGCACGTTTTGATGAGTTAAGGAACCAATGGTTACAGATTTTTAGTTGATGAACCACTGTTCCAATTAGAATAAAGTTAAGGGACTATTGCTACAATTTTCTCATTGAGCTTTAGTTGAGAGATTTCTCAAATTAACGTACTTGAGTGATGACTTTGTAGGATTCACATTCACTTCGTTTCATGTCTATCTTTAGGTCTTTCTTTCATTTACATCGTAAATCTAATAAATCATATGACTGCTAAAATAAATGGTGATTCGTTTAATTTTTCTTTGAATCACCGTTTTCGTCTATTGTCTTTCTTACAATAGGATCCCTTAACGATGTTGGATTTGTCTAGTTTTTTTCCAAAGATAATCTATACATGATGAATTAGAATATACGATGTAGATCATTGAGACTATTTGTACCATACTTGATTAATCCCGAAATTACTGAGCATCAGTCAACGTTATACCGTCAAGGACCCAGAAGAGTTTCCCTCCAACCAGGAGGCCAATCACAGCGCGACACGTGTCGACATCATAAGCCAATCATAGCGCGACACGTGTCAACATCAGAAGCCAATCACAACACGGCACATGTCAATGTCAAAATGAAACTAAAAACTCTCTTCTATAAATAGAGATCATTCTCTCACAATATTTCCTAATGTCATTTGTACTAAATCATTCACTAGTACTCACTAAAGGAAAGCTTGAACATATGTACTTGTGTAAACCCTTCACAATTAATGAGAACTCTTCTACTCCATGGACGTAGCCAATCTAGGTGAACCACGTATATCTTGTGTTTGCTTCCCTATCCCTATCCATTTACTTATTTATCCACACTAGTGACCGGAGCAATCTAACGAAGGTGACAAACTTAACACTTTCTGTTGTACCAAAGTCCTCACTGATTTTGTGCATCAACAGAGACCTTTACAAGGTGTCTTTGGATGATGAAAAACAATTATATGTATGCACCCTAGTGTCAGTTTGATTCTCACCAATCTCTCCCCTTAACAACTAATAATTTAACTCACACTACCGTTTGCCAAAACAATATTATATATATTATCCACACATATGATATACTGCCACTTCGAGTTTTTCTTAAATGCACAGAGCTTTATCCACTTTAAGATACTATTATAATGCTAGTAGCCACGCCTTCTACGGTTGCCATTCTTTGAATGCACACCCTTCCGCTCTACGGTTGCCATTCTTTGAATGCACACCCTTCTGCTCTTTTGTGCCCTTACCAATTTTTTAGTACGGTATGTGCTTTTGAAGCAAGACCAAGAAAACAAAAGTAATTTCAGTATATTAGGGAAAAATCCTATTTCTAAATTTGTATGATCTAAAGAAAATATATAATATTTGTTCAAAAAAGAAAATATATAATAAAAAAACTTTAGAGGAATGACGCTTATACCGTCATGTGATTTACCAATTCAAGTATCAAAATATGAGTAGATTCTATGGTCACTTTTTTTTCACCATGGGATTAGCTTTGATTTTCTCTCCGTAATAAATAAACTATTACTTATTCAAGTCTCCCTTCTGATTTTCTAGGCGAGTATTAGTAATTTAGTATTTCCTAATCAATAATATCCGAACATTTTTTTCTAGAAAAAGAATGATAGTTAGGTAGACTATGCTTTGTAGGTACATCATAAAATTGAACACAAACCTTATTTCTCATAAAAAAAAATTAAACTATTACTGGTGGAAATTTTAATAATAATAATAACAATAATACGTATGCTATTTTTCAGGTAGAATAAGAAGTGGGTTAACTGCCTAGCTAGCTAGTAACATGCATGCTATTGGTTCATGCATGAGATATTTCTTGCTTAGTTTTTTTGGTTTAAAAACGGGGCTAAAATCAAGAGCCCAAAAAACCTTACTCAATAATAAATTTAGACCGGGACATCTCAAATCGATTTTCATGAATAAAATTAACTGAACAAGAATGAGGAGTATCAAAATAAAAAGGAAAACTTTGGATGCGGTCCCTAACTAATATTCTTTGACTAAAACCTTATTGGTTTTCAATTTTTGATCAAAGTCCCTGAAATGAATGTGATCATTTATTTCTATGTACATTACTATATTTTTTAAATTAAAATTTTATATTTATATTTGTTTATATTAATGAGATTTTAAATAAAAAAACCATAATTTGTGGGATTAAAAATATTAAAATATAAATATACTATTGTGTGTGTGTGTGTGTGTGTGTGTATAAATATGGGTACATTCATCAAAATTAACCAAAAAATTATTGTATCAAAACATGAGTACATTCTTCAAAATCACAAAAAAGAAAGAAAGAGATATTAAGCTTAATAATATTAGTAATTTTTTTCGATTAAACTTAACATGGATACATTCTCAAATCAAAGAAAAAAGAATGTACCGATATATGTTTAAAAATGGATTAGAAAAAAATTGA